TATTAATAGAAGGTGTCAAACTAAAGTCCTAGCCAAGAAACTTGCAATCCAGAGGGAATATATATTCTTCCCTCAAAATATGTCCTGTACTCTTCCACTATGCGTTGATGCATTTATACTTGTACAACTTAACATTTGCTCTTAACAAAATAAAAGATGACATTTGACTGCATGGGGAATTGTAACTGGAAACACTGCTAAATTATTATAACACATGTCTAAACAGGTGGGTAATATTAAAGTCTGAAGTGTTTCTGCTTTCAGTAACACAGCTCTTTGAAAAAACCCTTTAACATGTCAGACCAGTTTTTATAAGTTCTTCTGTTTTATTTTTAGAGTAGCAGTTGTTACTGTGTACTTTCTCTCAGGCAGATATTTTTTTTGTCCAGCAAGACATTCTTTCTCTTACTTTAATCTAGTCATGAAGGTTGCTGGGTTATGAAACACTTGTATGTGGACAGAACTCATCAGAGGGAAGGTTTGGTTCTCTCTTACGTATCCACCAGCCTGCACCTAGTCTTTTACTATATCATCGGGTTGTAGCCATCCTTTATATTAGGAAAAATTCTGTCTTGGCCTTCCCCTCTTCATTAATTTGAATGTTCAAATTAGGCCAGAGCTTAAAATAATTCAATCTACTAAGGTTTTCAACAGAATATTTTAACTTTTCCAACTCTATTATTTTATTTACTCTTCAAAAATGCTGGATTCATATTAAAAAAAGATCTATCTGAATGGCAAGCAGAAATCATTACCCAGGCAGATAAGCCTATAAAGTATTAAAATTTATCTTAACACAAAATACAGGGCCTGGTTGTGGCACACACTACCTATTTGTCTAACAGACGTGTAATAGAGAAATGGCCCAAATGAGCTTAATAAATCTCTTTCTTAAACTCACAAAAGACCACATCCTCACTTCCATAATTCTATTAGAGTCTGCTCCTTTGGAGGAGATAAAAGAAGAGATAACCTCTCCATTCAGAATATAAAATAGCAATTGTTCAGCTGATGATTGGAATATTTCCAGTAGAAGGACTTAATTATGGAACAAAATTAGCTCAATCTGACCTTTTCAGAGAATAATGCAAAAAAAGTTTTTTTACAAATGTCTTCCTGGAATAACTAAAGTAAGAAATAATTTACTTCACTTTTTTACAAGAGCAAAAGGTGGTAGCATATGATAGCAGCGTTCTCGGTGAGACGACAATCCAAGGGTAATAATAAGACAGCATTCGCAGAAAGGAATAATATATTTCAATAGACTAGCTGATACAGTTTAAAAAACAGACAAGCTTTCAGACAGACAAGCCCTTTTCAGCAAGAGCAGGTTCACCTCTGTGACTCAAAATTGCTAGCTTAATATCTAGATAATGTAATGATTGTGTCATAGGAATGCATAGAAATGTATGGTGTCTATGTTAATTACATTCTGAAAGCTCCTCTTGGGATAAAGACGAAACTTATCGTTGCAATCTCTATTTTATCTAAGTGATAAATAGGAATAAGTACTTGCACCCACAGACCTACAGACTGGCTATGATGCTGTGTGTTAAAGCATTTCTCTACGGGTGTTTAGTTAGATGAGTTTATCTGTATTGAGGGACTTCTCACTAGGAAAACAAAACAAAACAAAACAAAACTGGAAAGAAAAACCTCATCTGTCTTATCAGTCCTATCTCTGATTTCATGACACTTTGAATGCTTCTACTGAAGCCATGCTGATACTACTGCATATAAGAAAAAAGGCATGAACAGGTGGCAATATTAACAGGCTTCTTATGGTTCTGAAAAATGAGATAGAAATGTTTCATGTCATGAAAGTCAACATCAATAATCATCCATCTTGTGTAGATATGGAAGTCAGCCAATGTGGTTCTTGCTGAGGAGGCGTGAGATATTTCTTTTGCATCGGAGCTGTTGCTCTGGACACAAGTCATAATTTGTCTAATATAGATGAATGAGGAGAATATTAGTAATACTTCCTTTTTTTTTTTCTTTTTTCCTCTTTTTTTTTTTTTCTTTTTTTTACATAAACTGAAAGCTCCCCCTTCTGGCACGTTTCCTGAACTGAACGCAAGGTTCCTGATGTCTGCCTTTGGCAACAAGAGATGTTTGCTCTTTTGCTCTTTTTTTAAGATCCTTTTCACAAAACTAGTATATTTATAGTTTCCCAAGGGTTTCCCATTTCCCCATCAAACTTCGAGGCTTGATGTGAACTCATTTAACAGCAGGGGATTGCCTTAAAGCTTTACCTATAATTTTCATCTGTTGCTTTTCCAGGCAAAGACTTACTTCTTTCCACTTTGCTGCATGTTATACAGAGTATGGAAAACAACTTTTTCAGAAAGTTTGAGTGTTAACATTTGTTTTCCTTCAGGGAGATCACTGTATCTCAGCTATAACCCTACCATCTATTTTCCTAATACATGCCTTGGAATCGCTCTGAGAAATCAACAGGACCTTTTTGAACCAGTGCTGCAGCTCTGCTGAGAGCAGATCCTGTCCAGGCTCAGGGAATCTGCAGGCCAGGGAAAGGGGAAAAAGCAAAGCAGGACTTGTTTAGGGCACAGTTTTGGTAACTGCTCTAACTGCTCTCATCTCATTGCTGCCTGTGTTTCCAGGACCGCCAGCATCAATCTTTCCTCTATTCCCTTAAATCAGTGCAGTCACTTAGGTGCTTAATATGATGAACTGATTTGTCACCGATTTTCTACAGTCATATACTTACACAAGGGAAGGGGAAGACTTTCCCAGCATGTGCAGCCACAGGATCCTGTAGTTCCCATAAATTCCTACATTTTAATTTTGTTACAGTCACTGGTACCATCCCTCAACTCCAAGCAGGCTGACAAAGGCAGTGAGACTGGTTAGGAAGCTTTCATTAGATTTGCTAGCATAGATTCAAAGACATCATCTCTCTGTGTCCTTAAAAACTATTTATGGGGGACAATATTTTACTGGAGCGTGAAGACAGGAATGAATGCTTCTGTGCAGGAAGGATTATACTGGGGCCATCCTTTCACACAGGCATGCACACCAGCCCCTCTGGCTACATAGAAGAAAATGAAAGAGAGTAAAGCAGTGTAAAATAACATCATATTCATCTCAACTCAGTGCTGAGCTATAATAGTAAAATGAGAATTAATTAATTATATTTATGACTTCCTTTCTGGGCTTTCCCTGAATATCAAGGTGGTATTTTCTTCTATGGGAGCGATGTCACTTTGCTTTTTTATGCAGTTAAGTAGTAAATGTGTCAGGTTTTAGTTGTAGAATAGTGGTTATTTTAAAGTGTAGTATCAGAGTAACAATTTACTACAGCTACAGTGAATGAAGTATACCCATTAGACTTGGTACATTAGGTCTGGAAGTGGGAGAATTGCTGGCCTGGCACCTTATGCCACTTTCCTGTTCCCTCTCCATGGTAACAAAAATCAGGATTGACCTACACAAACAAAGCTGCTCGCCCTAAACGGAGCACAGCTCAACTATGGAGGCAGAGAGGCCAATTAGCTTTCAGTGCAGTTTACAGCAAAGAAGGTCTGTTAGGATAAATGTCTACACATATGACAGAATACCAAATGTAAGCTTGCCGTTTGAAGCCGAATCATAATAATAATAAAGTAACAAATGATATGCTCATTATGTACATGAATACAGGTACACGCATGCACCTATCTGTTGTTGTTAAATCCTTACTTTATACAAGTATATACACATGTGTCTTTCTTCCTAGGAATGTCTCAAAAGCTGCTTCTATTGTCATAATGGAACAGTAGGACTCCTTTGAAAGCCATTTGTCTGAAAAACTACTGTAAACTTCTTTTGAGTAGGTTGTCTGCACTCAAGAGAGTTAATTCAGTAGAATTTTGATGAGACTAGAAGACCCGCTAATATCTAATTAATGTGGAAATAATTGTTGTAATGGTTGCTTTTCTCTACAAAGCATGTACTGAAAAACAGTTACACTGTCGATTTAGTGAGCATTAAATCAGTTTGATATGCAAATGGCGGTGCTGGGCTACTTCATAACGCTGGTATTATTTAAACATTTGTTTATTAAGCTGAGAAAATTGGAAATGTCAACAAATGGGATCCAGAAGCAAAGCAATGTCTTTTATCAACAGAGGCTTTCTTCAAAGTTTTTTTAGAAGAGACCTTTTAGAGTCAGTAGGCTCTAATGACAAGAGTAACGACAATACTAAATACAAGGGTCCTGCTGGGAGTAAAGTGTAAAACAGTCGTTCCTGCACCTGACACGTTCCAACATTTTTCTTCCAGTATGAATAAAAGGGAGCATTTCTTATGCTCTCTGGATTACCCCTGAGCTCTTATCCTTTTGGTTGTAAGGGGTCATGGAAACAGCTTAAACTGTCTTTATCCATTTAATGTAGATTCAATTAACTCAGGTTAATGACTATGTGACAGAGCTCAGGGAGTTGAGACCTGCTCACATTGTTCAACCCAGCTTGTTCTGCGACACAAGCTGCATTTTTGAGGGGAGAAAAAAGGAAAAGATACTGTGTTGCCAGGACATAATCAAACACAGTCTACAGAGGAGCGTAACTGTTGCCTCTCAGGCATGTGCAAAGCTCATGGCTGCAGCTAAGTACAGAAGCGCAATACACCATTGACCAAATCACTTACAAAATGGCTGCAGCATATCTGTTTGCTAAACCTTTACTCTTAAACTCAGTACAATCAACACAAAGTCTTTGGGAGTAATACGTTGTGACCTTTTAAGACTTAGATGAGTATTTTGCCTGGGATGTATCTTCATCTTCCGTACATTAATATATCATGGCCAAAAGAGTGAATACCAAATAATTTGTTTCAGAAAGAGTGCAAAATTTCAAGTTGTTGTCCAGTAAATATGGAAAATCATGTAGTTGCATAATATTTAATGGCATCTCTTTTGAAGTCTTACTTAGAAGATTGCAACAGGATTACTCAGAAGAGCACTTGCTAACCCTTTCTTTTTTTGTTTACATTCACAGGATTTTTGAGCACTGGGGACCAAGCAGCAAAAGGAAACTATGGCCTCCTTGACCTAATTCAAGCTTTGCGATGGACTAGTGAAAATATTGGGTTCTTTGGTGGTGACCCATTAAGAATAACTGTTTTTGGATCTGGTGCAGGCGGTTCATGCGTCAATCTGTTGACTTTATCCCATTATTCTGAAGGTAACCGTTGGAGCAATTCAACCAAAGGTATTATGCAGGTTGCAAATTTTGACAATTTTGGTGTCTGCATGCCACCGCCATTAGTACTATGTGATGCTCTGTATATTCTCTTTGTTCCTATGAACTGCTGAGTTCAGCTTAATATTAAGCAAACTTTTTAAAGGCTGTACAAGCTGCCTTCTCCTTCAGCCTTTCTGTGCATGTTTAAATTTGGGGTCACTTTCTTCTTTTTCCTATGGAGCTTTGTAGAAACACTTTATAGCAGACTTCTGAACAGCATTTCTCAGTGCATCATTTTTGTCTCTTTTCTTTCCTACTTAAGGGTGTCCTTTTTGGAAAACCAGTCAGTCATGCTCAAAGTAGATGAGGTCGTCTATATTCAGACAGTCATGAAAGGCATGTTTAGTTTCTCATGAGGAGCAGAATTTAAAGAAAACTAAAATGACACAGTTTCTCTTTTCAGGCTAACAGCTGAAACGCTTAAAACTATTATTTTGTGTGAAGGAAACAAGTACCTAGTTCAGAAATCTTTTGTCCGAAAGTGCATGAACTTCACTTGCTGTCATCTAATAAAAGAATGGTTGAATGTTTTGCATGCATGATCCAAAATTGTCAAAGCATCCAAGTTGCAAATGGATTTTCTTCTATATGTTTTTTCCTATTCCATAACTAACACCTTTTCTCTCTAGTTGAGGCAGACAGCAGGAAATTAAAAACATGCTGTTTGAGGCACCCAATTTTTTTTCCTATTATTTTTGCACCACAGTTCCACACAGTTTCTCTCATTTGCATGGCTATTGCTTATTCATCACATTACTTTTGTCTCAATGTTTTCACACATTTTTATCTGTACTGTTTAGTTTTACCAAGTACATCAATCACACCCTGCCCTGTGTATACAATCCTCCACTAATTTATATTGCTGTATCTCCGTGGGGCACTAATTGGCCAGTCATAAAAAAATAATTCCACTGACATTAAAAGAGCTGCATTTATGCAAAGTCATGATGCAGAGCCCACTGAAGTCAATAGAAGTGACAGATTCTTTAGAGCAGGCCTTTACACTATGTTAAATGAGAGGAAAATACAGCTTTTACAAGAAAAGTCTAGTGGAAAATAGGCTGTGGTTTAAATTTTAGTCTATTTCCACAATTTGTTTTTTAATGTAAACTTTTTTCCATAACTGCCAGCAGTTAAATAGGACATATTTATAAATTGGCCTATAAGAACAAGATGTAAGCATTACCTCATTACACTGTAATCTGAGGGTCACGCTGCATCATCTTTTTTCATCATAACTCACAAAAATAACTTTTGTCATAGAGGATTTAGCTTCAGGTTGAATGAGGAGACCCGGTTTATCCCCCCTAACTTTTACTTGATCTTAATCTTGATTTTCTTGATGTACCATGACATTAATGTGAAATGCCACATTTACAATATCTGGACAGTTGTGTGTTGCCTCTTATCAGCAAATTTTACCCTGTCATTCTAACACATGGTCAGAATTCTGCCAGGAGCAGAATTTGTTTGGGGAAACTGACGCAGTAATTTGCCAACATAGCAGATCAAAGGATTCGGGAGGGGACTGGAGAGGGCTTAGGGCTGTATACTTAAAATCCAATTGTAAAAGTAAATTTTTGAGGATTTCTTTTATAAGAAAGCAAAAACATGCTTTATTGAAATTTGGATTAAACAGAACAATGTCCCACACCCCCATGTATGTTATGTTTCATTTGGGGATCATTAGACCTGCCATTAAAAAAAAGGTATTGAAATAAAATTTGGTCAGCTTCAAATAAGAAAAGTGATTTCAAGTTTTCAAACATTTTCAAATATCTTAACATGTTCAAGAAAACTTTTGTTTCACATTATTAACCAGTCTGTTTCATAAGCTGTAAATTCGGATGCTTCCTTTGCTTCCTTCATTTCCCTTTGAAAGGATCCCTTGGTAGTTGAGAGGATGCATTCCGCCTGTTTCAAGATGCTGCTGTTCATAACTGCCCATCTGCAAGTGGGCAGAACAGCACCCATCTTTAGAAAGCGCTCTGAAAATGTAGATGAATATATGCAAATTGTTATTATTTACTTTGGTGAGACTTTGAATAGGAGTCACAAAGTGATATGGTCCATTGAACATTTAAATCTTCTTTCCATCAGTCTGAAGCCCATAATCTATAATAATCAAACACATTATCAGATAAATATGTAGTTCTCCATCCTGTGTGGTACCAATTTCTGCCAGGGATTATGTGACAGAATGAAAATAATTTTTCATACTGCTGTTCATTTTTCACCAAATGCTTTGAGAGGAGGACTATTTCTGTAAGCATTCTTCAGCAGAAGGAGGGATGTTTAGTTTCTTTTCCTAAGATAACTTTATGGCCATAGAACTTGACCACTTTTACTTAATCCAACATTTAATGTTTATGTAGCACTTAGCAAGCCATAGTGTTTATATCAGCATTTTCTTAAAATGTAGATTACACTTTCTGTCCTTGTTCAGTGATATTTAATAAAGCAATAAAAATAGATTTACACAATATGCAAAAAAGAAACATTATGAAGTATCATGAAATACATCTTTGTGAAAATTCAGTTTTGTCATTTACTTACATTTATTACAATGCCTGGATCATCTGCGGTAATTCCACTGACTTTGAGGTGATTTATACTAGCTCAATATCTGACCTTGTAAACATGCAAATATATTTTTGCCTGCTTTATAGCTCAAGTTCTTTCTTATTTTTTACTCATATCTTGCAAGGAAATAATATCTTGGATATGACTTCTCATAAATTTAAGGAGAGGCTTGAATTTACATATTTTAGTCCCTACACCTATCTGATTTTAAGAGTTTTGGTTTTGGACCTAATACAGTCTAGAAAATGATTTTAAAATGCCTCAGAAGCTTGCAAAATGTTTCCGGCCAGCAACTGATTCCAACTAAGTTCTGAGTGTACAGGGTCTGGTACTGCAATAGAGGTTCTAAAGGCATGTCTCTGACTTGATTTAGAGGCTATGGAGGGTTTTTATCAATAGAAGTATGTTACTTATCAAAGTAAAAGCCATTTTTTGCATTATTGGAATAAAATTCTGAGGTAAGCTGAGCACCTTAACTCCAGTTCCTTTAGTGGGAGTATCCAGCTATTCATCAGCATTGGACCAAAGATACATTCTTAGCAAAATTGAGTGAGGCCAGATGTCACTTCCAGTCGCTAAGCAACTCTACCAAAGTCAGAGGAATTACTCCAGGTGCCTATCAGCATAAGTAAAATTAAATTTTGACCCATATATCTTAAATCGGCATAACTTATGTATGCTATAGATCATTTTGTATTACCCACAGTGGGCTGTAAGAGGTAAAGGCCAGTATAAAATATTTTCCAGTAATTAGTGCAAAAGATGTGCTATGAAATGCACTGGATGCACTTCCATGAAAATCCAAAAAAACAGAAAGGTGACAGTTACCTAAATATACTCTAAGTTTCTGACACTAGAGATGAGCATTATTTTGCACAAGGTTCAGATGCAAAATGTCTTTGAGAACCTGAACTACCCTTCCCAAAGGGAGCGGGAAAAGGCAAAGCCCCAACACAAAGGGAGCACAAGAAGTATTGGACAAGGGTGGAGTTGTGACTGTATTAAAGTCAATAGAAAAAAAAATTGGATTGATTCATTGACTCAAAGGGGGTGAGGCTTTCATCCATGACATGCTCAAAAATGCTTACAGAAGGGAGAGGAAAATGTTAATTTAAACATATTTTGTTATTTCTATGAGTAGAATTCCTCGTCCAGAGTGCTAGTTAAATCAGCATAAATCCAAATTAATTGCACTGGAGTCTTTGGGATTTGCTACAAGTTTACATGCAGTGCCAGATCATACTCTCTCTCTTCCCTAAATGAATACCTGAACGTATGTTAAAATCTCTGAATTATAAAGGTAAATAGTGTAAAATATATCATTTCCCTTTTTATATAAGTGTGATCACTATAAACCTTCATTAAAAAACTCCTTACAAGAAAGGATCTTGACTCTTAGACACTTATAAATTTAATAGCTGCCCAGTACCTTCTCATCTATTTCTCCGAAGTATGAACTTTTGCTATGATATACAATTCAAAAGCACTGCACCTCTCAAACCAAGTTTAATCCCAAACAAAACATAAAAAAGCAGTATATTAGGTTTATTTAACACATAGTTGTATGCACACACACTGCTGTTGGCTTGAACAATATCCAGAAATTCAATCCATTTCAGAGACTTGTTGGCTTTTCCTCCAACCTATAAATTGCTTTAACTTTAGGAATTTCTTTCAAGCTAATAAAGCTTATCCTACATAAGGTAATGCCACTTCTTTGTCTTCCTGAGTTTCTTTTGTAAATCTGTTCCTCAGCTGGACTACATCGAGGTAGAACCATTTGCTTCAATTTCTGCGCATACTGCATTTATTTTGTATACATTACCTGTAGGTACAATGACAGTCAGATCTCACCATCTTGTGTATTTAAGTACTACTAAGATTCAAGTATCTCTTCTGTTGAAGTTTTCTATTGTTTCAAAGAACTCCTTTGAATCTTTCAAGTATGTAGCTGTTTCAAGGTCACTTCAGTAGTTTTTAAATATTTCTCCCCACAGGACTTTTTCAAAGAGCAATAGCTCAAAGCGGAACAGCTCTCTCCAGCTGGGCAGTTAGTTTTCAGCCTGCAAAATATGCCAGGATGCTGGCTACAAAAGTTGGTTGCAACATGTCAGACACTGTAGAATTGGTAGAATGTCTACAGAAGAAGCCTTATAGAGAACTTGTCGACCAGGACATTCAACCAGCAAGATACCATATAGCCTTTGGACCAGTAATCGACGGCGATGTGATACCAGATGATCCTCAGATATTGATGGAACAAGGAGAATTCCTCAATTATGACATCATGTTGGGAGTTAACCAAGGGGAAGGGTTAAAATTTGTTGAAAATATTGTGGATAGCGAAGATGGCATATCAGCTAGTGATTTTGACTTCGCAGTTTCTAATTTTGTGGATAACTTATACGGATACCCTGAAGGCAAAGATATATTGAGGGAAACAATTAAATTTATGTACACGGACTGGGCAGATCGACACAATCCTGAGACCAGAAGGAAAACACTGCTGGCTTTGTTCACTGATCACCAGTGGGTTGCACCCGCAGTGGCTACAGCAGATCTTCACTCAAATTTTGGATCGCCTACATATTTCTATGCCTTCTACCACCATTGCCAGACAGATCAGGTACCTGCATGGGCAGACGCAGCCCATGGAGATGAGGTTCCTTACGTACTAGGAATCCCCATGATTGGTCCTACTGAATTATTTCCTTGTAATTTCTCCAAAAATGATGTCATGCTAAGTGCAGTGGTGATGACATACTGGACAAACTTTGCAAAAACTGGGTGAGTACCAGATGATGAATGGTCTTGTATACAAACTCAGGATACAATGATGCAGTGCCTTCCCTTGGTTATCTCCCTTGGGAATGCCTCTGTACTTGTAGGATGAGTAAGAGATTAAGAATTGGGTTGGATATTTATGTTTATTGTAATGTCAGTCAGCTCATTTACACATTCCAGCAAAAAGAGGGAAAAAATATCTTTGTGAACATTCTGCATGAAGAAATTAAAAAAAATTACCTTCTACAAAAAAATAATTAAGGGATTCCCCAGAAAAGTGCAAAAATAAGCCTTTAACGTATGTGTATAGTTAAAAATGGTTACATTCGTAACTGACTTTGCCCCAGCACTGATAATATTGTCATCCCATGAGACAGAAAATTACATAAATATTGCATCAAAAATAATACAGCTTATTTTAATAATGTATTTTGTTTTAAATTGACAATTCTGACCATAAAATACGTGACTTTAAACTTGAAAATTTTTGTCATTTTCATTAATTTTTCTTTCACCAGTAGTTCAAAACACTTTTCTACCTTCGGCCACTGGACTCCAAGTCGCTATGCGTTACATTGAGTTATGCCCTGCCATGGTCTTTCACCTCTGGAAGGCCACAGATACTGCATATGAACTGAGATGCTAAGCTTTACGAGCTTTATGTTACTAAAAAAAGAAAAGCAAAGCTTAATGTCCTCTCACACTGGTCTCTCATAGACATTTGTCCACATTACCACATTGCTGGCAATCTGTCCACAGCAGCAAAAGATTTCAGTGTGAGAGACACTAGCATTTTGGGGAACTAGGGAAGTCACTGAAGTCTATGTAAAAGAAGGGATAGTTTGCATAATGCTGTTTCTAATCAAGATTATTAAGGCCTCTAATTTTAGGAAATAGCATTCTGCTCTGTCCAAAGGCAGACTCAAACATTAAGTATAAAATCCTAATTATGTTAATTTTATAATTCCTTTCGAAATACTTTGTAACATTGGAGATTTTTTTTTTTTTTAGTGACCCAAATCAACCAGTGCCGCAAGATACAAAATTCATCCATACAAAACCAAATCGTTTTGAAGAAGTAGCATGGACCAGATATTCTCAGAAAGACCAACTGTATCTTCACATTGGATTAAAACCACGAGTTAAAGAACATTATAGGGCCAATAAAGTGAACCTTTGGTTGGAACTGGTACCTCATCTGCACAATCTTAACGACATTTCACAGTATACCTCTACCACAACTAAAGTGCCATCAACTGATAATACTTTCAGACCAACAAGGAAAAATTCTGTTTCTGTTACTTCAGCCTTTCCTACAGCCAAACAAGACGATCCTAAACAACAACCAAGCCCGTTTTCAGTGGATCAAAGGGACTATTCAACAGAATTGAGTGTTACTATTGCAGTTGGTGCATCTTTGCTGTTCCTGAACATTTTGGCCTTTGCAGCGTTGTACTACAAAAAAGACAAGCGGAGACATGATGTTCACAGGAGATGTAGCCCACAACGTACTACTACCAATGATCTCACCCATGCACAAGAAGAGGAGATAATGTCCCTCCAAATGAAGCACACTGACTTGGATCATGAATGTGAGTCCATCCATCCACATGAGGTGGTTCTTAGGACCGCCTGTCCCCCAGACTACACGCTAGCTATGAGAAGGTCTCCTGACGATATTCCCTTAATGACACCCAACACCATCACAATGATCCCCAACACTATACCAGGGATTCAACCCCTACACACATTCAATACATTTACTGGAGGACAGAACAATACTCTGCCCCATCCTCATCCCCACCCCCATTCACACTCAACAACCAGGGTATAGCCAGACAAGACGAAACAAACTTTATTTTTTGATGGATTACAGTAGGTGATGTTACTGAAGATTACTTGGCTTTCAACCTACAAGACTCTTACTATTTAAATATGGAGGAATATTATGTGAATATACATATCAAGAACTTTTGGGGTTTTGAAAAAAATGAATTGTACATATATCAAATGAACTTAAACAAACAAACAAAACAAAAGAAAAAAACAAAAAACCCAACTGTTTGCAATTGCTTGAAGCAGTTGTCCTGAATGATACTTTTTCATTCACATTCAAGTATTAATTTTTTGAAGATTTAAGTTACATAATGGAATTAGGCATGTGCAACACAAACAGGAGAGAACTATGACTGAAAATTTTAAAAACCTATAAATATGCACAAGGGACACACTAATGGAATGTCAGATAATTTTCACCAATTTTTATTTGGACCTGTTTTCTTGTGTAGACCATATTTACATATTTGAATAAGTACACAAAGCACCAATGCTGTTAAGGCCTTAGAAAGGGGCCCATGCTGAAACCTGCCAGTCAGAGAAGTTTTACAGCCTGGCAGGTACAACATTATCACATAAGTGCTGTCAGTATAAAAGTTGTGGGAATAAAGGAAACTGGATATTTTTAGCACGATGTGCATGATAATTTATATGCTTGGTGGCTGTGCTGCTGATTAAGCCGTAATTAAAATTCTTCTCATCCCATTGGAGTTTTTAATAGAAGCTTTCTCCATCAATTGGCACAACCTAAAGAAGTTTTTTAAAGGGGCAAAAGTAATTACAGTAAAATAATTCATGGTAGCTTCAGAAGTAGGAGGAATTGCAACAGTTCTTAAAGGTATTTATGGCATTCTATGTATACAGTGGTGAACCCTCGCTGATACGAATCCCAGACAAAAAAATCTGTATTATTAATGTTTTTTTTCCTTTCCACCTAAATAATTTCTAACTTTAACATGCCTATAACTTTAATGGATTCTCCTATGATGAAGGATTTATAATTTGCTGTGATTTAGTTACGATATATTTAGTTCAAATTGGTAAGGTAAAGTGTGTCCAAAAATTTAATTGCAATGATATTTTGCAATATAAAAATGCCCCAATATTACTGCTCTGATTACACTTTTCAGTTTATTGTTTAAACTCATGTTGCATGTTACAAAGTTTACTTATAATACTTTAATATAAAGTTAATTCCCTTTTTGCTGTACATCAGCTTTGCCATGCAAATGAATTCTCTAGACCAGATGGCAACAGTGTAGAAAAAGAGGGTATGTAAGAATGGGGAGAGAGCCAACAACTGGAAATCATAAAATCTGAATACTACGTATGTTTGTGTGATTTGAAATGAATGCTCTAAAATCACAAGAAATTTTTCATTCCCCTGTTGCTTTCCAGTAATTACATACCATGGTCCTTTCAAATTGTTTGTATATGTAATCAGATGTACATTTATATAAAAGAAATAATTGAGATGGACTTAAGAGCACATCCCTGATAAATACTTTCTCTCTTACCTGTACTATATTTCTATTAGACTAAAGTTATGTGATTTTTTTTTTACATTTTTTCAAATTACTAGCAATTTTGATAGTTTGTAAGATAATGCGAAGAACTTTCTCTGACAAACTAACTGCAGTAACAGAAACATTTCTTTTCAGTTACTCTTTTTCAAGAATGAAAGCTTATTACACACAAAAATTGTATACTACTTGATGGAAAATTACTTTGTACTTCTTGGCCATATTACTGGTCACTGAGTGAAATAAAGATAATCTGGATAACGAATATTATTCCAATGCTAAGAGACCTGATCTTTGCTCATTAAAGAGCTAAAATGTTTATTGCTGTTTTGTCATTTTTTAATGAAGTAATGGTAACTGTCTCAAATAAAGAGTAATATCTTAAGACCAGTCTGGTTTTTGAAGACATGAACATGCCTTCTACAACTAATACAACTGCATATTTATGGGCCAGTCCCACCTACAACCATTTCTTACAGAGATACTGACATTGTGATAGCATGGTGTCATAGTATTACACGCAAGTCTCCCCCAGTTTTCAGGAATAAGTTAAAAATGCAAGTATCAACACCAAAAAAAAAAGCCAAGGAACAGGCCTAATTGAAATAAATCTGCAGTATTCCATGACAGGAAAAAAATCACCTGGGTTTTATTTGGGTGATTGAATTTTCATAAAGGATCTCTAGAAGTTCAAAGCGTGTTTGCTAACATCAAGCACAAACGTTAAAACTGAAGCTGAAAGCAAAATAAAGTACTGCAATTTCAGTCATTTTATTTAGCTATTTAAAAAAAAAAAAATCTATATCTTTAATTAGGGCATGTTACAGTCCCCAGTTTTAAATTAAGCTCTTTCGGTAGAAGCATAAAAAAATAGTCTTCAAAATCCAGGGCGGTCTGTGTGCAATTTCTGCCTGATGTGGTTGTGCTTTTAGACTGTGACCTGCCAATGTAAACCAATAAAAAGAATTGTCTGCCATCTGATAATTATTGTTTAATAGGAAGATTGTATTTTGCTATGTTGATGAAACAAAACAAAAAAATACAAAAATATTGATGGCCATAAAACAAGATATTCATGAAATATGATTTTATGTGCTTTTCTTAACTTTATCAAAACCAAAATAACTTTCTACTATAGTTTATTTGTGGCCATATATCTATATATCTATATATATACAGTATCTGGTAATTGTTTACTTTTATTAGTTACAAAATAAATGATTTAGGTAAACCAAGCATGACACTACACTTTATTTCTGTCAGCCAACAGTATTTAAAATGTGAAAGATGAAGACAACACCACAAATTTTATCACTCCTGTTGGGAAAAAAGAAAAAAAAGTCCATTCCTGTGATGCAGATACTGTGATTGATATTTTAGTGGCTACTTTAAATCACAGCAGCTGGCTTTCCAAAAGTAAGATGGTGTCCCACTTTTTAACACAACATTAAGAAAGACCAAGAGCTGTTTTAAAGCTGAAACAAAATAAAAATACAGGCGATGGTTTTGGAATATCTTCATTATGCTTCATGGAATATAAGTTTGTTCTTTTTAAAATATTTACCTGTTTGATTTGTTTTCCACGGTAGCCTACAAGAAGGCAAAACTGAGTGTGATATTTCATTTCTTGTATCATCCTTGGGCCAGATTTCCAATAAAATTAGGGTATCAGTCAGTCTTTGGAAGTTCAGTAAGAATATAAAAAGCCTGCACTTACTGCTTTCACACTTTTGTAAATATGTTTGCAGACCTTTTTAAGAAAGTGTATTCTACCATTTTGAGAAAAAAATAACAATGGAATCATTGTCTCGTTTATCTATTAAAATTACAGGCAATATAATGTGCTGTGCTGACATTTCTAGGAGAAATAAAGCAGATAAAACCGCATTTTGCTCAGTGGTATCTCAGTTGGTTACACGTGGTATTCTCCACCCACTGAAGCCTTGCGGGGCATGGGTGAACTACCTGAATATAACGTGCCATAGGAAGGAAAATGCAGTTGTTGTTTTCATTGTCTGTACTAAACATGGATTCCTATGTCACAAGACTTTAGTTATTGGATATTTTGGTTATTGAAACACCCTGAAAACCGGATGAATAGAGGTCTAACAAATAAACATGTTACAGATTTAAAGACACCACTGCACAGAAAATGTTGGAATTTCTGTTGCCAACTTCACTAATAGATGAAACAGCTGAATTCATAGGAAGTCGTCAAACATCATGGCATTCCTTTAATGTTTGTAAGTTGTTGGTTTTTTCCTGTGGTGTTAGTTTAAAATATTGGCCTTCCCCCCCGCCTTTTTCTAGTAATGAACTGTTACAGATGATCGCTTTTTAATGTAAGCGAACACTAGATAATTTAATTATTATTGTGAAAATGTGCTCCCAAATAAATTAGATTAATGGGAAATTCCCTGCAGAGGTTTTGTTATTTTTCATTCAAAGCTCTTGTCAAAATATCTGTTGGAGCAGTTCTGCTTTTTTTTCAGTCTGTAAGCTAAGGGACTTTCTCCAAATAACATTAAAAATCTCTTTTTCTCTTTGAAATAATAACACTATAAGATTAAGATGTCCTTCTGAGGCCTCCAAATAAATATGAACAATTTGAAATACGGCGAACGGGCTTTTACTCTAAACATTCTAATTTGATTTAATTCCGGCACATCAATACATTTGTATGCAGACCAGAAATTAGAGGCATTTGATAAGGCGTTCAAGAGACCCATGCAGCAGAATCAATGAGTTAACCACCAGCCATGCACAAAGTCCCTTTTCTCTTAGGTTCTGGTAATGCTATTGTATAATTGATTTCTTATTTACAGAATCAGTAAAAACTTAACTTTGTGAAATGGGAAATGGTTAGAACAAGGTAATGAACTTTATCTGGTGGAAAATGTTTAGGAAAAAATGTTGAGAATCACCTAGGAAGTCTAGATTTTTATGTGCAACCTGGCTTCATTCCTTTTTGTTGCTATTATAATTCTCAGTAATTCATACACATGGGAAACTATCATTTCTGTGATAAGCTTTAGTTTCTAAAAGGAATTTAAGTATTGTATGTAAATAGCAGATTAAAGCCTATTCTGAGTTTAGTTTCCCTTGCTATTGGGATGAATGAAAAACCTCACAGAAATGCAACAAGTTTGTTCAAGTAATTTTCATACAGTATCTTGAAATGTTTTTTTTTTTTTTCAATTGAAGATAAAAGTACCATCACAGCAGTAAAAGCCGTGTAAGTATTTGTCACAGAAAATGCCTTCTTGTATATATACGCGTCTTTCTCTCCATATGCGTACCCACATGCACTACTCCAGCCAATAGCGGAGATTTCAAAAAACATGAATAAACAAGGAATTTTACCTTCTTGCACCATGCAGAGCCAATTGAAAGGTAAATGCAAGTGCTCAGCGTGGAGGTAACACCGATGCCTCATTCTACATTCTCCGGTGTTATTGACCAGATGCTCAGCTGATGACATTTTTTTTTAGCACCACCTGAATTAGTATTTATCATAGGGCCATTGAAATCAATGAAGCCCTGACAATTTACACCAGCTATCGATCTGCTTCTGGACCTTTAATGTTCATCATGGCTCATCTCACCTTCCAATTTTGCATATCTTCTCACGCACATGAACACCTACTCACAGAAATTATTACAAGTATAACTACCTGATTTATGATGACTATCAAGCACTAAAATATGCTTTAAAATACGCTTATAGTTATTGGTATGTAAGTCCAACACTCAGAAAAAAAGAGCCTTCTACATAAAAAAAAAATCCCTGGTAATTACACTGATGCAAAGAAAAGGTTTGTACCACAGTTTGCAGCTTTTACATGCTGTAGTAAGTTTTATGTTAAAATCTTTTTAAAAAGGAACATTCAGTTCTGTCTGATCCTCAAACCTGTATGTTGACCTATATGTTGAACATGCAATGACCCTTTCCAGCAGTTGTAAACCTGCTCTGCTATGGTCCATTGTGGAAGGGAAGAAGCATACAACTGATCCACACGCTTTCTGTAAATTCAGGACAGAAATAGCTGGATTTTCTCAGTCATCTGAATTTTCCCCTCTCAGTGGCAGCAATGCCAGGCACTCAGCGTTTATGAGCTTAGCTTTAGAATGATGGCATTCAAAAAAATAATAAATGTGGAGTCCTTAAGTCTATAGGGTTGGGCAGTTAGTAGTCAGGTTTTCTGCTTTACAGCTCTAAAAGCCAGTAACTTTTTTTCAAACAGAAGTTCATAATACTGGCAACCAGAGGTGATAATGCTAGAGCTTAATTAACATGAGGTTCGTGAAAGAGCTGATAACGCTTTAACTGCATTATTTAAAAAAGAAAAAAAAAAGACAAATTTTGCATGTAGTGATTTTGTTCAGTTGCTGTGGAATTAATGACAATTTTGCTGTTGACTTTACTGAAAGAAGGATTAGTTCAGAAATCTGTATGAACTCCTGTGAGGTCCATATAACAGTTAAACAGCTATGACCATGGCTTCTAAGATCCCTTGGATGTTTCCAGACCTCCCTGAGTTATGTATCCATCCGCATTTCTGCAAAGAGGAGCATGTATGTTCAAGTATTGATTCAAATAGGTTCTTCCCAAAAGGACACATCACCGTGATACTGCAAAATCAGCTAATACACCTTATTTTTCAGCAGGTCTTGTGAGCTTGGTCTCAGCACTGGATCAGCGTGGCCACATGGCTCTGGGCTGGAGTGTGATTGTACCTCATGGGTGTGAAGGATAGAAAAAGAACACTTGTGACTGCAAAGCAGTCGTGGGCCAGACCCTGTATAATATACTTGATATAAATTTTCCCTGGAATAAAATGAGAGGTGGGGCAGAACCTTCTGGCAGGAGGCAGTTTTGGAGAGTGAGATATACAACATACCTATTTCATCCATTAATTTGGATTCAGCAGTAATTTAAAGCAATTAAGACCATATGAAAGATTCTAAAAATAATATATGGTTTGTTTGTCACCAAATACATTTTCAGAAGAAGACATGCAATATTTTACTGATTGATGATGAAGATATGGTTGTACAGTATTGGTTTTCTACTTTTCACAATGTTACTCCTACGTAGTGGTGAAATTTGGCTAAGCAGATGAATAAATTTTGCTCTCATTTGTATACAGGTAAGTCTAGAGCAATTTCATAGAAGTGGAAACGTGGACCTCTACGAAAAAAAGGTAAGTAACATCCAAAACCAATTACTCTTGGACAGCTAGTAGAGATTCCCATGTTTAAACC